CAATAGTTTGATTTATATTCAATGTTGTCTAACGTAAAAATAATCGACTTCATCTACAAAATCGAATTTTCTTCAGCACTAACTATCAGAATATTGTTAATATGGCTGTAATAGATAGTTGATGGGTTATGCAAATATGACAAACTGATTGTTATTCCCAAGTTGATTTATCTTCTGCATGAGTAATGAATAATATCATAGATAATGCTTGTTTTTTCTCAAGTAATAACAATACTAGTTTTTTATTTATCATTAAGCAACACGCCTAGAAATAAGGCACTTTTATTTTTCTTAGTTAACATTTGATTTGATTAGACTGGCTCAAATTAATGCTAAGATGTCGTTTGAACTTATCATATGGTAATTTGTCTTATAATAATCCCCATAAATTTTTCGTGTCTACTATTTTCGAGCATTTTTGAGTTTTTCCAAAGTCTGTAGGTAATTTAATATAGTTCTTTTCTGGGGTGTACTGGGTGATATAAGGACTGTGTGTGTAGATCACGTGTTATCAAGTATTGGTCTGCTGAGATTTTGTTTGATTGGTTGGAGGATTTCATTATGAGCTGAAATCGGTTAGAGAACTATTGGGAACCCCGGTAGTACTGGAGAGCTGTTACGTCTTAGTTTGGGGCTCTTCAGTAGCTATCCAGTATTCCCATGCTTTCCAATGGTTCTCTAACCGATTTCAGCCCACGATGAAATCATCTAAGCGATCACATGTTATGTCTTAGCTATGTTTTTTATTTTTTAATTGTTCCCTTGGGCTTCAACTGCACGTCTCCACTTGCTTCTGTCTTCTGCTGTACTTCCCACTTGCATCCATGTTAGTCCATACTGTTTCAAATCTCTTCACACGATCTCCTCCATGTCACCCTTGCACTGACTTCCCACACGCCGCTTCCCTTTCGGCCCGGTTCCACTCGAGCAATGACCTGACGCGTGCGCTATGTCACCCAGTGGCCTCCTCAGAGAGTGTCCAGTCCATCTCCACATTCTCCTGCATATTTGTTGGTTGGCGATTGGTTCTTGTTTCGTTTGTTTGTTCCCATAGTTTCTTGTTGGTGGTTCTTTCCGGCCCAGCCATCTGATCTTCAGTATAGATCCAGTGAAGACAGTTAGTGGTTGATAAAGGTAACGTCTGCAACAGGCTGTTGGAAATATTCTTTGTGACCCGCCCGCCGCCAAGTTTCTGATCTCGTATAGAAGAACTGACTGACTTGACATTTGTATTGAAAATCCGACCGAATTTTGTTGTTGATGGTGGATGAGTGACGAAGATTTCCAGATTGTTGTCAGGTTGATGAATGTGTGTTTCTCTCGCCTTCCCGATTCCGCTCAATTTGACATCCTCGTCTGTTCCTACTGTGGTTGAGACAATGCTCCCTAGATAAGTGAATGAATGAAGTGACCTCTTTCAAATCCCTCCGTTGATGGTGATTGGCACTGGATATTGTTGTTGTTGGCTGGTTGTCTTAGCTGTGCATTCTATGTTAAAGTTTGTACAGCGCTGTTCCTAACCGTGAACAAATTGGGGCATTATCCTATACCCAGGTAAACTGTCTTTACTTGTAATTCATTGATATATAAATAAGACAATATTTGGTTTTTAGTTAAAAGGTTAACCATCTCTGTTTGTCAACAGATGAATCTGTTGGCTAACAGGTTAATCCTATTTTGACTACTGATAGTGGAGGACGATAAGTGCTGCACTCTTGTTATTCTTCATTTGAGTTACATATACAAAACTAGTTACTTTTGAGGCAATTTTTATAACAGATTGACGTTAAAAATTCTTCTAAGTCTCAGGATATTTCAGAGAAAATGAAAAGTGAGAATCTTAGTTTTAAAACTGGAATTCCTGGAATTCCGTGAGTTCTGGAGCTTGGATAAACCATCCTTTCAGTATTAGGTGATGTTTTCAGGGTGTCCTGCAGTCTTTAGTGGATATTAACAAATATTCTTATGCTCATTTTGTTATACTCTGAATTCCTATTCAATGAATGTCTTCAAAACCAACAAAAATAAGTGGTTTTATTGTTTATAAACGGGTAGTGAACTGACTAGAACCTTTTTTCCTAATTCAAGTGAAAACTAATTTGAGTTATCTTTTATTTGAAGTAATTACTTTGTTCAATGGATAGAGACATTTATTAAGGTGTCATTTAACAAGGACTGTATATTTAACAGCTAGCTATTTAACTTTTACTCGTAGTGTTTTAAAGTTTCTTATTTCAAAATTTTGTTTTTCAAATGACATCGTTTCATGCGTTAAGCACAGTGTTCATTCAAGTGAAGAGTAATTCATATTTGACGGAAGGATAGGCTGTTGCAATATATGTGCATTATTCACCCAACAAGCAAGATGATGACTATATAAATCTTAGTTTTTGAAATTCTCTCATCTTCATCTGTAGCTGAATGTTGAACACAACCTTCAGGTTTTGTGGGAACAAACAGTCCCTCATTTTTACTGTAATTAGGTTAGAAAGTCTAGTCTTGTGTTTTATAATTTTAGCATAAGTAAAATTTCTGTTGAACTAGAGCTTGGGGGATCTGGACTTCGACGATGATATTTGTCTGATTTCCCACAAACTGGAAGATATGCAAGTGAAAAACAACAAGTTGACAGAAGAAGCATCAAAGATAGGACTTCCTTCAGGCGAACATAGAGAAAACAAAGGTAATGAAGATTCCTGGACAATACCAACAGCAACAACAACTACAGATAACAGTCAGCATAAATACAAGGAACCTGAAACAAACAAGCTCCTTTACCTACCTGGGAAGCATCGTTTCAACTACAGGCGGAACAGACGAGGATATCAAAGTAAGGATCAGGAAAGCAAGACAAGCTTTCATTACTCTCAGGTCTATTTGGAGGTCAACAGCAATCAACATGAAAGAAAGATCCCAATTTTCAACTCTAATGTGAAGTCAGTGCTACTCTAAACGGATCAGAGACCTGGCGCGTCATAAAGGGCACTTCGAACAAATTACAGACTCATCAACAGCTGTTTTTGCTCAATACTCAAGATCAGATGGTCAGAAAAGATCAGGATAGGGATCTCTGGCAATGAGCAAACCAACCGGGAACTGGTTGTGCAACAAATCTGCAGGAAGAAACGGAGGTGGATTGGCCATACTCTGAGGAAACCATCGAGTGACATCAATAGACAAGCCCTCGAGCGGGACCCGAAAAGGAAGCGGCGAGTTGGTCGTCAATTCAAGGGTGACTTGGAGAAGGTCATATGAGGAGGAGATAAAAGCATGTGGTTAGACGCGGAGCCAAGTCAAAATTTTAGCAGAGAACCGAACGCAATGGAGATGTGCAGCTGAAGCCCCATGTTTCTCTAGGAATTAAAAGAAATAATAATAAATAGAGCTCGATAATGTGTGAAGTATTAAAAACTAATGATTGTACACAGATGAAATTCATTCTCTTCACAGTTATTCATATATTTGTTTGTCTTAATGTCACTGCACATGTGTTCACTTTTTCCATGAGCTTTCTTAGAGTACGACTAAATGAACGAATACGCTTATTTGTGGGGTTCTGCAGTGATCTACCTATTTGTTTAGAAGTAGTATCATAGTTAAGTTATTAATTTTATTCCCCTAGGTTCTGAGCGAAACAAGAAGTTTCAGCAGCACATCTCCATTCAACCCGTTCACTACCGTCTTTTTAAGCCAGCTTAACGACTGCTTATGGCTTTCATTTCCTCTTCCCACGATCTATCATTCTGGGACCGATACCCAACTTGTTATTTCTCATCCAAGTTTCACTCTAGTACCTGGGGTGTGATATCTCTCAATGGTCTCATCAGAGCATGTCCATTTCCTCTGAAATGTTTGTTGTTGTTGCTAATTCTATCTGGCCATTTAATCTTCAGTATATGAGATAGTTGGAGGCAATTGGCAGGAGGCCTTGGACCTAGGTTTCTTACTAGTTGGCACTCGTCAGCAAGGCGTATCTTCAACCTTGAAGGAACTCATGTCCCTTCCGAGATTCGAACCCGCGTCACTGCCGATTGCCTCCAACTACCTAATATCATCAAATCAATGTTCACAGTGATGATGAGCTTCCTAGAATGGTGGCCACATTGCAAACCTGACTGATAGAATTCAGTCTGCTCTAGAGAAAGAACTGGACACGTCACACTACTTACTAGTGTCCAATCAAAATAATCTTCAGTATGGAGAGCAGGCGTTTTTAATAAAAGTCAGCGGTATGTTGGAAATAGTTTCATGACCAGCCGAGTCTCCGAACTATATGGAAGTACTGACTTGATAGTGGTGTCAAGAATCCAATTTAGCTGGCTATCTACATTTTCTAAGGCACGATTTTCTTATTTCAGTATGAATTATCACATTTGTACAGACATATAATCGCAATGAAAGTCAGATAAAGTAACATATTCATATTTATTTTTCCCGACAGACAATCGTAATTATTTAATTTGTCAAAATAATAAATTTGCGTGAGTTTTCGTTATTATAACTCAACAAAGAGAAAGTTGCTTAAAAGTAGTCAGCCTAATAGCAGTTTTTATTGTGAAATGCTTTCACAGCAAAAATTTTGTTTGATGTTAGATGGTTGGAGAGAGTCGGCAGAAAAAACCTTAGGCCTAGGTTTCGTACTGTTGACAGTCGTTAGAAAGGTGTATTTCTAGTCTTAGAGGAACTCAAATCCCCTCTGAAATCTAGTACTTCAATCGGAGACGTAACTGCTGGACAACTGAAGTTTCTGATTAATCTCCTGTAGGATTGTAACGGATACTCTGACTGGACATCAGAGAGTAATTAATGTTACGCGTCTAGTCCTCCACTTAGTGCCGGTTCAATTCTATTTTTTAATTCACGGAAAGGGTATGAAAATATAGTTTCTTATTCAAGAAATGATTTTACTGTGTTGAGAAACATTTATTTAACTTTGAATTTACTATCATACATATATATTTGTGCATACATAAATATAAATTCTTGCTTTCTGATTTTAGTAAAATTTCGAAAAGTGTTCAAACATCATTTAAATTGAAAAAGAATATTTCTTCAAGTCATAATTTATCTACAGAGAAAGATATCTATGCAAATTCATTGAAATTATCTCCAATGGATACTTTAACTCATTTACATATTCCACAGTATAGACCGTTACCTGCGCATAAATTAGGCATTATCTCTGAAGATTTATCCTCGGCATTTCCAGTTTTAGATTTTACATTCCAACAAAAATATCGTGACCAACATCAACAGCAGCATCAAAGTGTATCAGCATCTGCAACATTGTCATCTTCAGGAACAGGATCGACAGCAGTCACAGTTTATACAACAACAGTTTATCACCATCAGTAATTAACACATCTCTAACAAACTATGAATCTCAACAAACGAATATCTACGATAACTCTCTAACACACTCATATGATAAGAGTTCGATCCGATTAATGTTAAGTGAGAATACAAATCAAAATTATCCTATTGTATACTATAATCAAAAAGTGTGTGATTATAATAAATATTTTCCAGAGCAATCTATTGCTTTAACAGATCGTAGTATTGTCAGTAAGCAAGATCAATCATCTACTGCTAAATTTTCTTATCCTGGTGGTGATTCAGGTATGTTATTCCCTGATGATTTTATTACTTTTTTGTTTTATTATTATTTTAATTGAATAATGAATAAAAAAATACTTTGTGAGAGTAGATTAATACATATTTCTAGAATCGAAACTATCTAATTACTGGTTCCCCTTTTCCTGAAATCACTTTAGTCATTAGTGTTGAACTGTGTCCGGACACATTCTTTCACAAATAAATTAGCGGTTCCACATACACAGCACATTAACTATAATAATAACGTCTTTTATTGCGGACAGTATTTATAAAATGTGCAGAATTTCCAGTGGAGTTTACTGAATTATATGTTCCCCTGGTGCAATATCTTCAAGTAAAATATTGATTGATATCCTCTGACAATGCTGTCTCAGCTGAAGCACAAACTATTCCATTATGATTAAGGCATTCTACTCGAACTCAAGCAGCCAGGTGAGGGCTTACGGCGAGTTATCATCTGAAGCAGTGACGACTAGTGGTGTCCGTCAGGAATGCCATTATCCTAATTTCTATTCTATTTCATCATAGATGTACTTCTGGACTTAACCCTAACTCACTTCAGCGACTCAGGGATTGACTTTCTACCAGGGAATAATCTCGTTGACTTAGAATATGCAGACGATATAGTCCTACTAGGCGAGGACGCTGACAAAATGCAGAGTCTTCTGAACACACTGAGCTGCAATCTACGAATGTTTGGCATGCGATTCGCTCCTGCCAAATGCAAGATGATGTTACAAGACTGGACTACACCGACTCCTGGATTAGAAATAGGAGTGAAGTGGTAGAGCGCATTGACCGTCTCACTTATTTGGGAAGTACCATCAGTCCCAACGAGTTGATCTCAGACGAAATCTCAGTACGGATACAGAGGGCTAGTTTCGCATATGCCAGTTTACGCCTTCTCTAACGTAGACGTGATATCCGACTATCGATCAAAGGGAGTGTGTACTGCTCATCAGTCCGCTCCGTTCTCCTTTACGGCTGTGAGACTTGGCCATTGAGAGTGGAAGACATGAAAAGAATAGCTGCCTTTGATCATAGGTGCTCGCGTTCTATCTCCCGTGTGAAGTGATATAATAAGGTAAGGATTATTGAGGTTAGGCTTCGGTCGAGTGCTAGGTAAGGAGGGGAAATCAGTCAACGAGGCTGTGAAGTAGCTGCACCGACTAAGATGGTTAGGGCACGTGTTACGTATCCCTAGTCATCGCCTTCCTCGGCAATGGGCAATGTTAGCTGATATAGGGTCAGGCTGGAAAGGAGCTAGTGGCGGTCAAACCAAAACATGGCACCAGTCAGTGAAGTCCACAACAGTAAGTTTAGCCAGCCACGTAGGAAGGTGTAGACTGGCTTCCTGGTTGGGTCCTCGGGACGGTAAAAATCAATGGTTGGAAACTATTAGTGACATGGCTCAAAATCATTGTCAATGGCGCAGATGCATCCACTCCTTGTGATTAATGATTTCCAGTGAAACTATATTGTTCTTCATCATTACTATTCCTCTATCTCACACCTCTGTTTGCTGTCTCTATTATGCATTTCTTCTACTTTCTTCTCTTGCTTTGTGTGCTACATGGAGGGAGTGTGGTGACTTGAACTGCCGCACATATGTGCAAAGTTCTATGTTGAAAACAGACGGACAGATTCTATTATGATATATCTTATTTGTCTCTTTCAAGAAATCCTCTATATCTGGTTAAGGGCCACTTGTAAGATGCTCAGAAGTACATTTTGAGAGGCAAAGATATAAATGAAGAATAGTTATCTCATGTTTTGGAATACATTGCCACCTACAATCAGGTCGTTCCTTGAGTTTAGTGGAACTTGCAAATCAAGAGCTTGTAAACATTTTAAATACAAACAAGAGTAGATAATACCAACAGAGGTCATATCTCAAGTGGTTATAACTAAGCGAACGAGAGAAAGCATTTGCAATAGAGAGATGGAGGATTTTCGTAGCCCAATTTTTAATTAGGCCTCCAGAGAAAATATGTATGACTTGATCCAGGGGTCCAGGTAAAGGAAAAAGATTTAGGAGATCATGTGGTAATTTTACTCGGAAGACTAGGGAGTTACAATAAGTGATAATGAAAGCAGAAAGCGATTTGGGTTTAAGACAAGAAAATGTAAAATTACAAGAAAATGCAATGAACTGTAATCACCGAAATAAAATAAACAAAAGTGAAGGTAGTTAGTTGGGAGAGAAGAAAAGACCACATTCTAAAAATTCCTTTGAAAACACAAATATTCACTGAAATTTCCAAACTGCTGTCGAATATGAGAGTCTTAGTTACTCTGAATTATATTACTAATTGGCCATTCTACACCACTGAATAATGAACAAAGAATGTTCTATGCGATTAATTTGTCATCAGATTCCACATTTATATGACAGTCACAATTAAAGAAATATCAATTCAAATCATACTAAATCACTAGTATTTACAGATTATATTTCAAAAACATCAGTAAGAGAAAATGTCCATCGATATAACACTGAATTGAATATATCAAATAAATTAAGGGAAGTAACAAAAATTTATGAATTTATAGGATTGAGAGCAGGCCAGGGTAGCAATAGTGATTGGATCTGCTTCTTTTACTCATGAAGCTCCTGTTGATTTAAATGAATTGCAGATGACTGAGAAGACTCTTCAGTGCTAGCTTTGTTACTTGTTTAGACAAGGTCATCTAACATAGAACTGTTGACGGTCTTAACAACGACTTTATTTAACCTCACTGGTAGGTGTGTAACAACAGAAGACAAGGGCCGGTAACAGATCATTTTATTACGGAAATCAGCACGTATTTACACATACACCATTATAGCTTATTCAAGTAGACGAACACAGTCTTCTGATTGGTTGTTTTCGAGATTTCTCGGAAAGTGGAACCATCTATCTGCGAATCATATTTGCCCACGTTTAAGTTTGCTGTGGTTGGCTGTTGAATCAGCCTTGTTCATGTTTTCTCACGGCCAATATTAGTGACCTAGACATTGACGTAGATTAATGTCTACCAATTGGCTAGCAGACTGCTCTCACCACAGGTGTTTCCAAGTGCCAAACTCTAGGTCCCTAGAAGAACGTCTAATACAACTGACTCCGCAGAAGCAGTTGATTGCTAGATGCTGTTAGTGGTTAGCCTAGGTATTTTATTTTTCAGTTGAGGAATCACAACTGGTTGTGTGATTATTTTATTCATAACATTTACTGTGTATTTTATGTATACTGTTAAGATATTTCCTGTCTTCTGTCATTTTAGTTTTATGCATATGCTTAACAAAACGAACTAAGTTTCATTTCTGTACGTTGACAGGTGTGGATACAGTTTAAGTTGGAAAGTTTGAATTACTCAGTATTAAGTGTTACATAATGAGATTAACTTATGTGATTGTATTGCCATATTCATTTAATTTAAGCTTGTTATATATCTGACTCTGATTGTTGTTAGTACTGTTCAACTCTCAGTTTTGGACATGTAAACTTGATGCTGACTTATGAAAGGTATTAGGGATTGTAAGTTTTATGTGAATTACGCTTTGTTACAACTGATTAAATTTCAGCAAGCAATTATATATATTATTATTTCCTTTAATTCCTAGAGAAACATAGGCGTTCACTGCACGTCTCCATTGCGTTCGATTCTCTGCTTAAGTTTTCATCTGGCTCCAAGTCTGCCCACATGCTTTTATCTCCTCCTCACATGACCTCCTCCATTTCACCCTCGCACTGACAACCAACTCGCCGCTTCCATTTCGGGTTCCACTCAATCATAGCCTGGCGTGTGATGTCACTTGATGGTTTCCTCAGAGTATGGCCAATCCACCTGCATTTCTTTCTGCTTATTTGCTGCACAGTTGGTTCCTGGTTGGTTTGCTCCCAGAGATCCCTATTCCTGATCTTTTCTGACTGGCCATCTGATTTTGAGTATTGAGCTAAGACAGCTGTTAATAAAGGTCTGTAATTTGTTTAAGGTGCTCTTTATGACGCGCGAAGTCTCTGATCCGTATAGTAGCGCTGACTTCACATTGGAGTTGAAAATTACATATAACTGCCCTTTTTGATTGTGTCACTGTTCGACTGTGTTTCAGAAGAAGACTGAACAGAAAAGGGAAACTTCTATGAGAAATTAAATTAAATCAAATGTTGAAGATATACACTTACATAAGAAATATATATATATATATATATATATATAAAGAATATAATTTCAGAGAACTAAATTTATCCTCATATTCTCTGTCTTATGACTTTGAAACAAAGAAAGTTTATAAATAGGCCGCCATAATGACAGCTGTAAAGTGCGCCAAATACTGAACGATAGCATGAGGCAAAATCAAACAGAAATCAAAAGAAACTGAATTACTTTCGTATTAATACTTAAGATGTAGGCAAATACACACTTGAAAAAAAAACACAGCAATTTATTCATAAAAGTATTTAGCTTTCAGTCGAAGACTTTGCATTCGCTTGTAAACTAATCATAAATACTTTCTCGCTATAAGCCGAACAGTAAACAGGGGGGGTGTATTTTGTCACAAGCTCTTTCTCACTCAGGCTCATGACTCCTAGTTGACAGTGGAACTGATATAGAAGCTATTTGTAAAAGCTTAGCGCTTAAGTTTTTTGAATTTTCTAACAAAACCTAAATAAAAATTAACTAAAATTTGACAACATTGAAGTAATGAGCAAGAATTTGAATATAACAGAACGAATATATGTAGATTACTCGAATGTTCAGGATATTGTGGAGAACAAAAACTGAATGGACCTGTACAGGATTTTGCGTACTGTGATTCTGTTCTATGGAGGCAGAGTGTTTGACAGGGGATAAATATTTCAGCATAACTCCTTCCGAAGTGAAATACTGTAGATTCCAATAGTTGTAAGATTTATGAAATCTGAGGGTTCTTTAATGTTGAAAATAAAAGCTACTGTTAGTCAAACAATTCACTCAGCTGTTAGAAAACATTGTAGCTTAAAAGCTATTTAAGACTTGCG